ATAATGCAGGTTGTAGGGATTAATGAGTGGGGCTACACAAGCTACTGTTGCCAAAGTTCGCTTGACGAGGTACAGCACACACTTCGCAGACTTGGCTACCTTTTTACAGTATAGGAAGGGTTTAAGCGAGGGCGTGATCGAGACTCTTATGTCCTTCTAGGCGTTCACTTCTTTCAATGGTAAGCCATTTAGTCTGTTAACTTTACGGTTTGGAGAACTGAGTTTGCCCACTCTTATGATATTTTATTTGCTTTCCATGAACGGCAAGCGCCAGTCCTTTGACTATTCGTGGAGTCGATTTAGGTTTTCGTGTAAATTCTCTTCGTCGCAGTTAGTGGGACTCGTCAAAGTTTGATATAATCGGCAAACATGGCGATATCGCAATCCAGTACGTTGACACAATCGTTGATGTAAACAATGAACAAAGTAAGGTCGAGAACGGAGCCTTGGGAAGAGTACTCAACCGCAACCTTGGCCAACTGCTTGTCACTAATATGGAGAGTTTGCGAGAGAACGCTTATGACATTTTTCATCCAAGTTCGCAATATACCCCATACTCCTATGTGGCTAAGTTTATAAAGTAGGCGATGAAATGACACCTTATCGAAAGCCTTTTTCAAGTCGTTATAGACTGTGTGCACCATATTGCTTCTATCGACGGTCCACGGTTCTAAACAGTAGAACAAATATATCAGCCAAGACCTACCTCTACGGGAACCATGCTGGACACCGGAAAGCAGATGGTTACTTTCTAGGAACTGCATGACTTGTTGGTTAACTATTTGTTCCTAATTTTGCAGCAAATTAAAGTAAGGTTGACCGGCCGATAACTGTTTATAGAGATCCGGGTTCTATCCCTATACAGCTGCGTAATTCACGCGTATCTTCGATCGGCTGATAGACATCCGGCCACCAAGGATGTTTAGAAAAACGTACAGAGAAGTTTTGCCAACCCACTGGCGAACTTTTTTAACATCTTGTCCTGTATTTCAGCGGGAATCGGTGTCCTTTAGGCCTATTAGTTCTTTAAGGACGATAGTCTTGGGGAATTAAAAAGTCTCGACTGTTCCACTTCGCAGTCATCCGCGGTGTAATGGTATCCTGTATCCTTTGTGAAATCTGAACGGAAAAATTCTGAAAGGTGATCAGTTTTCGCCTCGTCTTCAGTGAGGTCTATACCCTTGGCGGTCCTCAGCGTAAGTATCGATTTCTGTTTCGCCTACGCTGCCTGAGTTTACTGTAAAACAGTCTGGGGTTCACGGTCGCATGGTTTAGCAGGTTCACAAAGAAAGCCCGACTTATTCTAAGAATAAGGCCCTTTTTATGCACTTAAAGGTGCGTTAGTCCTGCCCATAAGCGATTTTTCGCACAACCTCCCCTTTTTTGGCCGACGTAAGCCATCGAGGTCTGGTGGTCAACCTTTTCCCCGAAAGTGGACAGTGGTTTCCGCTGAGCCTCTTCAATATGTTCCGGAACCCTTCCCAGTCAGATCAAGTCAAGTCAGGTTTATTAAGGGAAATAATGTAAAACGTCTCTGAACTCCCTATTAGTACACGGTAATTTAAAAATGCATTGGTACAGCAGAATATTTTAAAAGGGGTCGCTTACATAATTGCAAGTGAAAGGCGAGACACCGGTTACTTCGGAAAGGTAAACATACACGCCTACTTTGTTGTTTTAAGTAATATAATAGCATAATCAAAAAATTAATCAGGTGCTGCCAATTGACACGAGCCAGTAGGTTTAACTGAACGAAAAGAGCAGAGAGGTATGTTTCCAAAAGATAATGATTCCCACACAGTGCACATGAATTCGGTCATCATTCGATCGAAATCGCCTTGCCAAATATGTCTTCTGACTAGAAAGCATTCTGATGGGAAGATATACTGTGATCGTGCAAGTAACGTGCCGACACCTATCGACATTTCATCCGATAATTAATTTACGTATTCCCGAATGCTCTTCATCGGAAAGAACTAGTCTTAACCAAAAACCAAAGGAGCATTTACGTTTGGCATCAACCAATTATGTGTGCGCAACACAGCCTTCTTTAATTTCACCCTCCCTCACAACCATGCCTATATTTAAACGTTTTTGGCAAGTTTATGATTTAAATACTATGAATACTTGTGTGTGATTCATTTAGATATGTCTCAACTGTGGTTCAACCCGCTCGATTTTTCTATGTTGTGTCACACTTCTATAAATTATTTCTTCTTCACCAACTCAAATGTTGAAGGCTTAAGTAACCTGCATATGCTACTTTTCTTTTTGAACACCTGTAGTTCCAAAGAAGACTCGGCAGGCAATTTCGTGATCTTCGGGATGCCCTTGATTCACTACAACAAGCTTGCGAAGTGCTGGTCTCTCGCCAGAACGCGACTAGAAAAGTAAGCCAACTTACCCAGGATATAGACAATGCAGCGACGGCCCTGGAAAGTGCCTGCAAAACGGCCTTCTTAAGGGCTGAAAAGCGACTCAATCAAATTGAGGCGCAGGCGAAGGAGGAACTCTCCACCATACAGGATAAACGACCATGCACCGAAATCAAAGCAACTCTCCTCCAAAATGTGAATGATTCCACGTCTTTTATGGTTCGCTATTACCTGGAAATCTTCTCCATCATTTAAATGCGAATATGTTTTAGGGAGATGTTTTGCTTTGCCGGTACACTGACAGCACCTACGACACCGCTACGAACTCATTCATCCTATTATGCGTTCGAACCAATGATCCTTACTTAGGATTGGTTATGTCCGGTATATGACACGCTAATAAGTCGAAAATGGCAGTTCCGGTCTCCCTTATCTTTGTGGTTACTCGATTAGTTATGCATTTTGCTAGGGGCTGTTTGACTGCGCACCATTTCTCTTAATAGAGTCCCTAGGCACCAGGGGAAAAGCATACTCCCTAATTTGATCGGTGAGCGTCATTGCTTTTAGCCCTCAGTTTGATGATTTCGAATATTTTTTGATCCGACAGTTAAAAAGACGGTGGGCAGGCTTTTGTCCACCCAACATTCTAACAACCTGCAGCACGCAACACCGGCCGGTAACCCCGAGTTTATTATGTAACCGAGCCAAGTTACGCGTATATCCTACTAAAGCTACCTAAGTAAGCTAACTGTTCAAGCGGAAAACTTCGCCAGATTAGATTGCGCCTTTTGACAAATTTAGGTCATAGCATCCGACCATCCGTCAGTCTACCACTGTCGTCCTTCCTAAAATGCGCATGATCAGTTCAAAAACTCTGCAGATTGTACCTCTTATTGCAACTTATTATACCAACAATGTGCCGACTTGATAGCGTCCTTCTGTCTTTGTAGGAAGTTCTCGAGTTGTGTAAATTGAAAGAACAGGCCCAGAGCGTAGTTAAATTGCTGGAAATAGTCAGAAAATCCGAATCCGGAGGCATGTACCCCGCATTTCGTGGCTTAACTGTTTCCGACAGTTTGGACTCTGTAAGTTAATACTGTTCCACAATATTTTTTACTGGATTTTATGTATCCGATTCATTCTACAGTAGACACCCGTACCTTAGAGCATGTCCCTATATCAATGGTTGGTATCTGTAGTTATTTTTCGCGCTAATTTTTTTTCTGATGAGTGTTGGAAGCATTAGGTCTGCAATAAGCATCGGTTCTAGGTAGTCTAATTAATCAAACGGCAAGCTGTACTGGAAACAACTAAGCAAAGTCACACCAATCAATGACCCTTATCTGAGGTCGACAGCGCAGGGTTATGTATGCCGGCACCGGATGCATTCACCAATTGATTGAATTACCATCTTACTCAGAACAAACTCTTCCGATGATTGATCAGTATCCTTGCTTCAAAAAACATCTGAAACTTTAAAATTGCCACACATTAATTTAGAGCGGACATTTCTTCACAAAATTCGGCTTTCATTCAGTTGCGTGTTGACTTTGCGCACAGGTCAATGGCTTTTTGCCGCTGACCAGATTTTCCTCGATATTGTTTGCGATCAACACGTCCGTGTTCTATATAAAACCATTACGCTAGAACACTTCACAGTGGGCCGCGTTTCGGCACCCAACAATGGTAATATTCAAAATATTACTGAGCTTGCCGTTGAAGTTGTAGCATGTCGACTATTTTTATTAGTTCAGTATAGTTCAGTATATTTAGGGTAGTAGGCAATGCCTTTGAAGACCCTATTTAAAACAGTATGCATGAAATACCCAACATAAAATATGTCACTATAAAACAGTGAGTAACATATATACCTGTACAAATTTTAACGTGTGCGTGAGAGCAGTCAGAATTCTCTCTTGCGTACATAATATATCCAACATGAAATATGTTACTGTTAAATAGTGAGGAGCATATACAAATGTAAAGTTTTATCTATAGATATTTCCTAGGCGTAGATTATTTCTGCTCCCTTGTGCATATGAACGGTAACTGGTAAGAATATGTTCATCCAGG